TCCTCCTCCTCCTCCTCCTCCTCCTCCTCCTCCTCCTCCTCCTGCTTCTCGAGCCCCGTTCAGCCGTGGCGACGAGAAGCCCCAAAAAAGTCCAGAAAGGGCGAAAAATACCACCTCGCCTGGCCTGCCGGCCGGAGTCTGTGCCGAGCCACCTCGGCCCCCCGTCCGACTCCCAAGGCCCCTGCCTGGCCCAGCACTGCCCCAAGCTTTTCGCGCCATACTGGAGCCCAGGGACCCTTTGGGTCTGGCAAGGGGTGCCCCAGAGGCCGATTCCTGGACACGGAGTCCTGCGGATATCCTGGGCAGCACCCGATTCGTGTGGGCTTCCCCCGGGAGCAGATCTTCATCCCGTGCTGTATTTTCATGGTCCCGGGGCCTGGGAAAGGCCCCGACGGGCCGAAAATACCGAAAAGCCTCAGGTCCCCTTCCCCGCAACACCCCTCTGGCTTCATGCTGACCAGGCCGCCGCTAGACTGTCCCGCTTCTTTCTCGCGCGGAGCCTGCAATACGCATTGTCCAATCCGACGCCTCCGCGGCGCAGCGCAGCCGAGGCCCTAGGTCCAACACAGAGGGCCACCGGTCCGTGGTGGATCAAAATCGTGGAGCTCCGCCCTACGATTCCATCCCCAACCAACATCACCCGCGACGGGGAGGGGAAGAGTGAGGGAGGGCTGAACTGGTGGGGGTGACGAGAGTTCTCTGCCGTACGGACAGAGCCCATCGCAAACCACTACAACAGGAGGGCATCAAGCACCCTGTTTGTGGACGGAAGCATCCTGCGTGTGACAGGGAAAAGAAGCACTGAGTGACCATAAATCTACCAAGGCCAAGAATGACACGCTGACAAAGGCGCGCCTGCCGCATCCGAACTGTATCCTACGGCATGCCGAGTGGCATGCCACCCACAGGCATCCCTCAACAGGTCAGCCCATGACCAGTCTCTATTCGCACGTTCCCAATCTCGTGCGTATCCTCACTGACATCGTGGCTCGGAAAATAGTCACTGGAAATCAGTCGGTCGAGTTGGTCTGGAAGACAATGAGGGAGGTGCAGGTGGACACGGCCATGATGCCATCGCCGAACGCGATGGCTGAGTCCTGGTTGGACTCCCTCTCATTCGCGCCCTCCTCCCTCCACACATCCGCTTCACATCTCGCGAGCAGCGACGACGGATCACGACCCGCCAGATGCTGCCAAAGGTTATAGCGGTTGTTCGATGCCACGGCGTCATGAAGGGGGGAGGGGGAAGGGCAGAACCTAACGCCCCCCTCCGCAAGGTGGCTCCGGCACCACAGCGCCTGTGCGCATCACAGCAAGCACCACAGTGCGCAGCAAAGTATGTACCGCAGCAGGCGCGTACATCACATGGCCTATGTACTGCGCAATGCATACGTGCAGTACCACAGTGTTGAAGGGGCCCTGGGACACACAAATCAATACACACAAATAACCGGATTCCCAATATTTTCCCATATTTTCTGGGTTTTTGTCTTCCCCCCCACTTCCCATATTTTCCCATATTTGCCTGGGGATCGACGATGAATTGTGTCTGTGTGTTTTTTCCCCATCTGAAGTGTTTTATCCCCAACATCCTCCTTGGAGCATTGCAATGTGCTGGTGTTTGCTGGACGACGAGGGGGCCCGAGCGCCGGACGACGACGACGACGACGACGACGACGACGACGAGGACGAGGACAAGGACGAGGACGACGACGACGACGACGACGACGACGACGACGACGACGACGGCGACGGCGACGGCGACAACGACGACGAGAACGACAACGACGAAGACGAGGACGATGACGAGGACGAGGACGAGGACAAGAACGAGGACGAGGACGACAACGAGGACGACGAGGACCACGACCACGACGACGACGACGACAAAAGACGACAACGAGGACGACGACAACGACGACGACGACGATGGCCGCCTCTCAAGGTCTCCGGAGGTCTCCAGAGGCCTAAGGTTTCCAGAGACCTCTGGAAGCGTATGGAGGCCCTTCGAGGCCCTCGGCAACGACTACAACGAGGACGAGGACGAGGACTAGGACGACGACGACAACAATGACGACGACGATGAGGACGACGACGATGACGAGGACGAGGACGACGTGGACAAGGACGAGGAAGAGGACGACGACGACGACAAAAGACGACAACGAGGACGACGACGACGACAACGACGACGGCGATGAGGACGACGACGACAACGACGCCCCTGAAGGTCTCAGGAGGTCCCCAGCGCCAGAAAGCCAATTGATCGGACACACTGGCGTCGTCTGAAACCAGGTGAGACCCGACGTGGGAAACTGAACGAATGCAAGAAAAGCTGTCCTTACTACCGGCCTGGACGAAGTGACCCGCATAGGTCCTTTTCTAAAACAGCTGGCTGGAACGAGAGAGAGCAAACGTCTTGACTCATCCGTGGTAGATAGTGGCCGGGACCATTGACGACCTGGACCGCAGCCTGATGCACACAGAGAGCTCCAAGGAGGCCTCCAAGAGCAACTCTGGAAACCAAATTGACCGGATTGTGGCGTTCTCGCCTTTTTCGACTCCCGCGGGTCCACGACGGCCCAAGCAGCTCCAGTATTGCCCCAAGACGGCGATCCCCAACGATGGCCCAAGCGGGCCCCACGATGGCCCAAAGAGGCCCCCCAGACGGCTCAAGAGGCCCCAAAACGGCAAGAAAGCAACAAGGCGGCCAAGAGAGGCCGTCAAGACGGCCTCCGAACGAGCTAGACGGCACAATGGGGCCCCAAGACTGCCCAAGAGGCCCCAAAGATACCCTCAAGAGACCCCACCAAGAGGCCCGCGGAATTGTGTACGAGTGGCGCGTCGTTGCTATGCTCACCAGAGTTTGAACCTGGCGCTGCCTTGTTGAAGGGGCCCTGGGATACACAAATAAATATACACAAATAACAGGATTCCCCATATCTTCCCATATTTTCTGGGTTATTGTCTTCCACCCACTCCCCATATTTTCCCACATTTTAGTGGGAGCCGACGATGAATTGTGTCTGTGTGTCTTTGTCCCCTCCTGACTTGTGTTCACACGCGGTGAATGCTCATCGCCCTCGTGGACATCCGCACGCGCCTCCCGGCGCCGAAGCGTGGGGGGGGGCACGCCCGCCCCCCGTGGCGCAGGGCAGCTGCACCCCTGGGGGGGGGGCAGAGCGGCGCGGCAGGACTTCGCGGCAGACGAGCAGGACAAACCACCAGACGTCCAGTCTTTGCGCGCTCCGAACGTACACCCTGCGAAGCGAGAGGAGGAGGAGGAGGAGGAGGAGGAGGAGGAGGAGGAGGAGGAGCAGGGGGAGGAGGAGGAGGAGGAGCAGGAGGAGGAGGAGGAGGAGGAGGAGGGAGGAGGCGGCGGAGGAGGAGGAGGTGAAGGAGGAGGAGGACGAGGAGGATTGTCATCATGTGCGTCCGCCCTCCCCGCCACAACGCTTCAGAGTCCCGCATCCCGAGGAGAGCCGAGAGGCTCAACATGCGCGAGGACACCATGACCTCGCAAAGGCACGCAGCCGGGGCCAGTCACAAGGAGGCAACGAGAGGAAGCAAGGCCCTCGTGCATCCGCGCTGCAAACACTTGGCCAGCGACATTGGAGCAAGGATACAAGGCATCATTGGCCAAGCCCCTCATACTGGCGTGGGGACGAGACTGTCGAAGGGGAGGGGGAGGAGACGACGAGAGGCCGAATGAGGACGGGGGTGGGCGAGAGAGAACAGATGAGGCAAGCGGGGAAGGCGGACACACCCCGAGAGGGCACCCCAGTCCTGGAAGGCTACGCCGGTGGTCAGGGACGACAGGAGCTGGACGTCGACGGTCCTCCCGGACGGCGATCCCCACTTCTGCAGCACGCCGACCTGGCTCGCTCGGCGCCGCGGCAAGCAAGACACCGGGGCGCAAACTCACGAACAGGCCGCAGGAGAATCTTCGGTGGCAACTCATGGGAACCTCCCGTACCATCTTGTCGGTTCCTGCGAATCGACGCTACATCGACGCTCAATCGACGCTAATCGACGCTAAATGGACGCTAATCGACGCTAACCGACGCTAACTCGGCGCTACCTCGTCCACTCCCAGGCGCTAATCGACACCAGTCGACGCCAAAGACGGAGTTACGAGGGTAGACAAGGCTCCCGTGTTTTGCTACCGAAAGAATCGAAGGATCGCTGGGGACCCGATTGGAAGGCAAGGACCTGACGCACAACGACACGATCGGGGCAGCCAGGTGCCCGAAACTCAGGGCGCGGCCATGCAGTCAGTCAAAGCGGACCTGACGGCCGGCCGGGCGGGCCACAGCGGGAGGGCGTCTGCTCCGAGCCTGGGGTCGAACCCTGGCCTCCGTCGAGAGCTCGCCTCAGTCACAGCTGCAGTGCTGGAGTCGACGAGCAGGTGGTGCCCCTCGCAATCGTGCGCCTTCGTTCCCGTCCTGGCCACAGTCCGGGGGGTTCTCGGAATCGTGATCTCGACTGTCCTGGACGAGATCACGATTCGGCATGCTCGGTGTTCACAAGTGCTGCCTGGGCTCGGACTTCAGGTGCCAGCCCGCCCGGACAGTGGCCTGGGCCCAAGCGCGATGGGCGAAGGAGCAGAATCGGTACCGGCTTGGCTTTGTGAGGAGAAGGCCGCATCACCAAAGGGAAGAACTCACGAATAGGAGTCACTCTCTGCGTGCTCGCCAACAGGGGCCCAAGCAATGGGAGAGCCGAAACCGGAGATCGGACACCAAACCATGAGCTTTCGTCAGCGCTGGCGTCGCATGTGGGCACCGTAGCGCCAGGCGTATGAGAAGCAGGAGGATCGATCAACCAAGACGTGGAGAGCAGAAGCATCAAGGCTAGAACTCTGCGCTTCTGTCCCTCTAGAAGACACCACGAGCTCAGATGGCGGAGCGGCAGCGGTGACGGTGCCATTAGCAACGACAGGCGGTGGCGGCAGCAGCTGCAGTGGTCAAGAGCTGCCACGCAGCCAAGAGGCCTGATTGCCAACGAAAACGTTACCCTCCGAGTCCAGCACCGGTGCGGACCTCGGGCCGCGCGCGGTCGCTCCCTTCCCTCGAAAGCATGATCGCACTATCCATTTCGCCAAATATCCGCCACCGTGCCATGAGGCACGAGTTGGAGTGTCCTCAGGTCCCCTCGAGTTCTCTGCATTGAGTTCTGCAAATACACCTTCCCACAGCCCAGGATTCTGGGCGCACCCGGCCCCCTCCTGGGCGCTCGTGGGCGTTCTTGGGCGCTCTCACGGCGTCCCCGCGTGACGCTTCGAGAGGCCAAGAGCGCGTCGTTCGGGACATGCGTGCCCAACATGGCTTCAGATTGTGCCTGGGCCTGGCCTGGAGCCCTATTGGGCGCCTCCTGGGCCGTCTTGGAAGCCCTGGAGGGCAGCCCGAGAAGCCCAAATCGCCAAAACCAAACGGTTTTTATATGGTTTGCGCATTGCTGCCTGTTCGTTTGTCGGAGCTTTTAAGACGGCCCAAGAGGCGCCTAAGATCGCCCCAAAACGGCCCTAGAGCCCAGAAGAGAGGCCCAAGCAGCCCCCAAGACGGCCCAACGAGGGGCCCAAGATGGGGACCACGAACTGACATTTTGAGCTCTCCGCCCCAAGATGGCCCAAAGATCAGGTGCGCCCAAGAGGGCCCAAGGAGCCCCCAGGATGCCCCGAGAGGCCCAAATCAGGCCCAAATGAGGCCCCAAGATGCCCCCAAGACACCCCAAGACACCCCCAAAATCACCTCCAAGAGGCATCCGAAAGGCCTCACAAGAGCGGAGGCCGCCGACCTGCAACTCAGGCGTGGTGACGGGATGGGCCGAAGGCCACTAGATTGTACTTCCTCTCCCTCCAAAATGGACTCCCCGCCACCTCTGGAAGGGGTCACCTCCTTCGACGCCCTCACCCGCAATCTCCTCTACATCGAAGATCTCCCCGTGTACAGTGGAGGCCAATCCACAAGAAACCTTCCACAAGAAACACAACCCTGAGACCTCAGGGCGTCCATCGATTTTTGGTAGGGGAACGTCACGCTTTCCATTGCAAAACCATCGAAACCCAAGAAACCCAGGGCACCCTGGAGGCAAGCAGGGTGATTCTTGGCATGGGTCTCCCCGTTACATCATCTCCCCTGGCCTCGCCATCAACGTCGCATCCGCGATACCGTCTTCTTTACCTTCCCTGCACAAGACCGTCCTTGCGTAGCTAGAGCGCCCGGTGTGACAAACAAGCCTGCGACACTGCCTGAAACTTCGCGAGGTGAGGAGGCAGAGCACCCCTGGGCAGAATCACAACTCGATGCATCAACAAGAAGTCGAGGAAAGGGAATGGGGCATGGAAAGGCGGAAAAATGTATATTGGAAGAGGAAGAAGAAGAAGATGAAGAAGAAGAAAAAGAAGAAGAAGAAGATGGACGAGGAGAGGAGAGGGGAGGAGAGGAGAGGAGAGGTCCGCCCTCCCATCCTCCTCCTCCGCCGCGTCCTCGTCGTCATCACCATCAGCATTATCCTCATCAGCATCATCATCATCAGCAGCAGCATTATCCTCATCAGCATCATCATCATAATCAGCATTATCCTCATCAGAATCATCATCAGAATCAGAAGTATCCACATCAGCATCGTCATCATCAGCATTGGCATCATCATCATCATCATCATCATCATCATCATCATCAGCAGCATCAGCATCAGCATCAGCATCAGCATCAGCATCAGCATCATCATCATCATCATCATCATCATCATCATCATCATCATCATCAGCATCATCATCATCATCATCATCATCATCAGCAGCAGCAGCAGCAGCAGCATCAGCATCAGCAGCAGTCCTCCTCCTCCTCCTCCTCCTCCTCCTCCTCCTCCTCCTCCTGGAGCAGGAGGCCAGGCCCGGGCACGCCCCCGAGACCAGCTGTTCGGCGTGCAAGCCGCACGGCCGCCCATGACCCTGCGGATGTCGGCGCCCTCCTGGGGGGGAGCAGGGGCAGGAGACCCCAGAGTCGAATCGATGGCCCGGATCGGCGGTCGAAATGGATCGGATCGGCGGAGATCGGCGGCCGAGTCGGGAAGAGTCGGATCGGCGGAAATCGGGAGGCTGGTACGCCTCCAATCAACAGTCGGAGCCCGAATCGGAATCCCAAATCTAGTCGAACCAGAATTGGAAGCCATCGGAGTCGAATCGAGTCGAACCGGAGGAATCGAGAGGAGCCCTGCAGGGGGCGGGCCGCCCTCCTCCCGTTTTCGACTCGGGGCGGGCGCAACCCTGAGATCCTGGCGGCACGTGCGTTTCGAGTCGGGCGTTCTCGCACGATTTCAACGTCGGGGACCCTCACAGATCGATCCGTCTGAGAGTATCCAGCGACAGGTACGTCGATCAGCGACACCGACGGGGGACTGAACCATTACGCTCGAACGCCAATGCCAGGTGAACCAGTGCAGACTTCCTCAGTCGAATCGTCTGGGGGGGCGTTCTGTCAACCTCCAATTCATGGTCATGCTCCCTGTCCCCGAGGAGACGCCCAGCTCGAGAAAATTGAGAGGCCAGGGTCTCAGGGAACGCCGCTCCAGAGGATCTGAAGGGCAACGATCGGTGAGGATAGGCACAAGTGGGATGCGTCGACCTCGGATGGCCGATACATCGCCCATGCATCGTCGATACATCGTCGATGCGGACCGACCCGTGTCTCGCCTATACAACGCCGACACAGCCACCTGATATCAACGATGCACCGCAGATGCATCAGCCATGCGATGTCGCTGCGTCCCCCCGCCCCCTGTGCCCAACCCCCCCCCCTACATCGTTGCCCCCGAGCTCCGGAAGATCTCCCCTCACCCCGCGGCGGCGAGCCCAAAGGGGAAGAGAGAAGGGGCGGCCTTCTCAGAAGGCTCGGAAGTCCCCCGGGCCTTCTAAGAAGTTTTCTGAGCCTCCCCCGAAGACACAAGAGAAGCCTCTCAAAGGGCGCGAGGGCGTCCGAGTAGTCCCGCCGCCTCCTGAGGAGGCCTTCTCCTTCTCCCCCTCACTTCCCCCCGTCCCTCGCGCGAAGTCGACGCTAAATCGACGCTGAGTCGACGCTGAATTGACGCCAAACCGACGCTCAATCGGCGATACCTCATCCACTCCCAGACGCTAATCGACGCCACTCGACGCCAAGGACAGCATTACGAGGGCACACAAGGCTTCCCACGATTCGCGCCGAGAGGATCGAAGGATCGCTGGGAGCCCGACCAGAAGGCAAGGACCTGGCGCACAACGACGTGGTCGGGGCAGCCAGATGCCCAAAGCTCGGGGCGCGGCCATGCACGAAGGGGCCCTGGGACGCTCAAATAAATAGAGACACAAATGACAGAAGTCCCCATACCTCCCCATGTTGTCTGGGTTTGTCCTCCCCCCCACCTCCCACATTTTGCCACATTTTCTGGGGAGTCGACGATTCATTGTGTCGGTGTGTTTCTTCCCCTCCTGAATGCAGTCAGTCGGAGCGGGCCTGACGGCGGCCGGGCGTCTCCTCCGAGATTATGGTCGAACCCTGGCCTCCGAGTCTGAGGGGCAACGACAGGGGAGCACCTCGACCTTGAACCCACGATGCATCGCCGACAGAGCGGCGATGGGCCCCCCGACAGCAGAGCCGCACCCTCCTGGGCAGCTTGGGGCTATCGGGCCCCCAGCGGCGATCCGTGGGCGATCGGGGGCCGATGCATCCCCCCCTATACCCGTCGCCTCCCGATCGTTGCCGCCGAGGTTTGCCACCGAGCCCCCCCGCGGTCCCGGTCGCCCGCGCAGTACGCGCTCCACAGCGTCGGCCCGTCCCGCTCCCACCGGACGTGCCCGTTGTGCGGGTCCTCGGTCCGCCGCCGCCGCCGCCGGCTGCCCGCTTTCGCGGGAGGTCTCCCTTGGGAGGGGGGGCCTCGCAGGAGGCGGCGGCGCCCTGGGCGAGAGCAGCACTAGGTCGGGCATGGCCTCGTACAGAGGGACTTTGGAAGGAAAAAACAATTATCCCGTCAAAGCAACCTAACAGCGATGTGTAGGAGCATATCTGGAAGCATTCCCCTTAAGATCCAGATGAGAATGCAGTTGTAGAATTCTGATGTTCTCGCAGTCGCAGTCGCATTCGCGATGACAGTCGCAGTGGCAACGGCAGTCGCAGTCACAGCCTCAGCCTCAGCCTGCCTCAGCCTCAGCCTGCCTCAGCCTCAGCCTCAGCCTGCCTCAGCCTCAGCCTCTGCCTGCTTCAGCCTCAGCCTCAGTCTGCCTTCAGCCTCGGCATCAGCCTCAGCCTGCCTCAGCCTCACCCTGCATCAGCCTCAGCCTCAGCCTCAGCCTCAGCCTGCATCAGCCTCAGCCTCAGCCTGCCTCAGCCTCAGCCTCAGCCTGCTTCAGCCTCAGCCTCAGTCTGCCTTCAGCCTCGGCCTCAGCCTCAGCCTGCCTCAGCCTCACCCTGCATCAGCCTCAGCCTCAGCCTCAGCCTCAGCCTCAGCCTGCCTCAGCCTCAGCCTCAGCCTGCCTCAGCCTCAGCCTCAGCCTGCTTCAGCCTCAGCCTCAGCCTCTGCCTTCAGCCTCGGCCTCAGCCTCAGCCTGCCTCAGCCTCAGCCTGCAGCCTCAGCCTCAGCCTCAGCCTCAGCCTCAGCCTCAGCCTCAGCCTGCCTCAGCCTCAGCCTGCATCAGCCTCAGCCTCAGCCTCAGCCTCAGCCAGCCTGCCTCAGCCTCAGCCTGCCTCAGCCTCAGCCTCAGCCTGCTTCAGCCTCAGCCTCAGTCTGCCTTCAGCCTCGGCCTCAGCCTCAGCCTGCCTCAGCCTCAGCCTGCATCAGCCTCAGCCTCAGCCTCAGCCTGCCTCAGCATCAGCCTGCCTCAGCCTCAGCCTCAGCCTGCCTCAGCCTCAGCCTCAGCCTGCTTCAGCCTCAGCCTCAGTCTGCCTTCAGCCTCGGCCTCAGCCTCAGCCTGCCTCAGCCTCAGCCTGCCTCAGCCTGAGCCTCAGCCTCAGCCTGCCTCAGCATCAGCCTGCATCAGCCTCAGCCTCAGCCTCAGCCTCAGCCTCAGCCTGCTTCAGCCTCAGTCTGCCTTGAGCCTCGGCCTCTGCCTTCAGCCTCGGCCTCGGCCTCAGCCTACCTCAGCCTCAGCCTGCCTCAGCATTCAAAATGTGGGCCAAGAATGGAGTTCTGGGAACTCGAAGAACACGAAGTGGCCTGCAGTTGGCTCCGGGCATTCAAAATCATGCCCAGGAATAGAATTCTGGGAACTCGAAGACCACGAAGTGGCCCACAGTTGGCTCCGGGCATTCAAAATCATGCCCAGGAATGGACTTCTGGGAACTCGAAGACCACGAATTGGCCTACAGTTGGCTCCGGGCATTCAAAATTTTTGCCCAGGAATGGACTTCTGGGAACTCGAAGACCACGAAGTGGCCTACAGTTGGCTCCGGGCATCCCGGGAATGGAATTCTGGGAACTCGAAGACCACGAAGTGGCCTACAGTTGGCTCCGGGCACTCAAAATGTAGCCCGGGAATGGAGTTCTGGGAACTCGAAGAGCACGAAGTGGCCTACAGTTGGCTCTGGGCATTCAGAATGTGGCCCGGGAATGGAGTTCTGGGACCTCGAAGATCACGAAGTGTGTAACTGTTTGCTTAAAACGACTTCCGCGGATTCTCCCCGGCACCCGTCCGGCATCTGCCCAGACCCCCCTGGGGAGTCAAGATGCTTTCTTTTGAGACCATTAGAAACCTATCAGTCTTCGCTGTTAGGTAAAAAAGATTATCCCAGCAAAGCAACCTAACAGCGATGTGTAGGAGCATATCTGGAAGCACTCCCCTTAAGATCCAGATGAGAATCCAGTTGTAGAATTCTGATGTTCTCGCAGTCGCAGTCGCATTCGCGATGACAGTCAGAATGGCAACGGCAGTCGCAGCCGCAGCCTGCCTCAGCCTCAGCCTGCCTCAGCCTCAGCCTCAGCCTGCCTCAGCCTCAGCCTCAGCCTGCTTCAGCCTCAGCCTCAGTCTGCCTTCAGCCTCGGCCTCAGCCTCAGCCTGCCTCAGCCTCAGCCTGCATCAGCCTCAGCCTCAGCCTCAGCCTGCCTCAGCATCAGCCTGCCTCAGCCTCAGCCTCAGCCTGCCTCAGCCTCAGCCTCAGCCTGCTTCAGCCTCAGCCTCAGTCTGCCTTCAGCCTCGGCCTCAGCCTCAGCCTGCCTCAGCCTCAGCCTGCATCAGCCTCAGCCTCAGCCTCAGCCTGCCTCAGCATCAGCCTGCCTCAGCCTCAGCCTCAGCCTGCCTCAGCCTCAGCCTCAGCCTGCTTCAGCCTCAGCCTCAGTCTGCCTTCAGCCTCGGCCTCAGCCTCAGCCTCAGCCTCAGCCTCAGCCTCAGCCTCAGCCTCAGCCTCAGCCTCAGCCTGCCTCAGCCTCAGCCTCAGCCTGCCTCAGCCTCAGCCTGCCTCAGCCTCAGCCTCAGCCTGCTTCAGCCTCAGCCTCAGTCTGCCTTCAGCCTCGGCCTCAGCCTCAGCCTGCCTCAGCCTCAGCCTGCATCAGCCTGAGCCTCAGCCTCAGCCTGCCTCAGCCTCAGCCTCACCCTGCATCAGCCTCAGCCTCAGCCTCAGCCTGCTTCAGCCTCAGCCTCAGTCTGCCTTCAGCCTCAGCCTCAGCCTGCCTCAGCCTCAGCCTGCCTCAGCCTCCGCCTCAGCCTGCCTCAGCATTCAAGATCATGCCCAGGAATGGAATTCTGGGAACTCGAAGACCACGAAGTGGACTACAGTTGGCTCCGGGCATTCAAAATGTGGCCCAGGAATGGAGTTCTGGGAACTCGAAGACCACGAAGTGGCCTACAGTTGGCTCCGGGCATTCAAAATGTAGCCCAGGAATGGAGTTCTGGGCTCTCGAAGACCACGAAGTGGCCTACAGTTGGCTCCGGGCATAAAATCATGCCCAGGAATAGAGTTCTGGGAATTCGAAGACCACGAAGTGGCCTACAGTTGGCTCTGGGCATTCAAAAACATGCCCAGGAATGGAGTTCTGGGACCTCGAAGACCTCGAAGTGTGTAACTGTTTGCTTAAAACGACTTCCGCGGATTCTCCCCGGCACCCGTCCGGCATCTGCCCAGACCCCCCTGAGGAGTCAAGATGCTTTCTTTTGAGACCATTAGAAACCTATCAGTCTTCGCTGTTAGGTAAAAATAGTCCACAAAATCCGCACAAATAGCCAAAAGATATTGAAAAGGTTGTCCCCTGACTATATGTTTACTCTTCTCGAATGTTGCACCTGTAGAGGGACGTGCCCGACTTCAGAGCAGCACTCTGGTCTCGCGCACGCGCCCCCCCGACGAATCCCTCAGCCCTTTGGGCTAAGGTGGTCTGAGGATATCCTTCTGTCCTCCTCCAGAACCCTCGTCCCTTCGGGGAGGGGCACTCTCCCCCGCCCTTCCCTGCGGGTTGTTGTTGGCGGGGGCCGCGAGGTGGCAGAGGATCCCTTCTCGCCGACGATGTCTCCCGGAGGGCCTCTGATACTCCAAGATGGCCTCCGAAGCGGCTCAAAATAGCCGAAGATGATTCAAGATAGCTTTCGACAGATCCCCAAGAGGCCCGCCGAGGGCCGCAAGACGTCGAAGTGCTCTCGGAGCCCCCTTCAAGACCCCCTCCAAAAGACAAAAATCCGTCAAAACCTAATGAAAATCAAGGGTCCTGAAGGTGGCCCCAAGATGGCCCAGGAGAGCCCCAAGATGGGCCCAAGAGGCCCCCGACGGCCCAAAGAGCGCCCAAGATCACCCCAAGAGCGCCCCAAGAGGCGATTTTTGAGGGCCCCAGAGGTGGGGGGGACTAAACGACCCCCCCTCCGTTGATCGATGGCCTCCAGGATGGCCTCAAAGAGGCCCCCAAGAGAGCCAAAAGGAGGCCCCAAGAGAACCCCAAGACGGACCAAAGACGGCCCCACGAGCGCCCAAAAGCGCCCCAAGAGCGTCCCACGAGGGCCCCAAGAGGCAGTTTGCCTTCTCCTTCTCCTCCTCCTCCTCCTCCTCCTCCTCCTCCTCCTCCTCCTCCTCCTGTCCTTATCCTCCTCCTCCTCCTCCTCCTCCTCCTCCTCCTCCTCCTCCTCCCTCCTCCTCCTCCTCCTCCTCCTCCTCCTCCTCCTCCTCCTCCTCCTCCTCTCCTCCTCCTCCTCCTCCTCCTCCTCCTCCTCCTCCTCCTCCTCCTCCTCCTCCTCCTCCTCCTCCTCCTCCTCCTCCTCCTCCTCCTCCTCCTCCTCCTCCTCCTCCTCCTCCTCCTCCTCCTCCTCCTCCTCCTCCTCCTCCTCCTCCTCCTCCTCCTCCTCCTCCTCCTCCTCCTCCTCCTCGCTCACATGCGGGCCCAGGGATGGCCCGAAGAGGCCATCCAAGGCCACCCCTTGCACCCAGAGATACCTCTGTTCATCCTGGTTGCCCGCTTTGTTTTAATATACATGTCTCTTCGTTCCTTCCCCCGTCAGCTCTCATGGGCAACGACTCCGAACGGGCTGGTGGGGATACTTGTTTTTTGGTCGCGGCCGCGCAGCAGAGGGCAGACGGCGAAAGGGGGTCCGGGGCAACGGGCCATACTGGTGGGGATACGCGAAGCGTGAAGAAGTGCCGATCAACAACCGAAAACGTAGCACGCCCATGAAGGAACTAATTGGGGGTAAAGTGAAAGTGGTGGGGTCTCTCCGAAGGCCCTCTCCGAAGGCGGCGGGGCTCCTCAGAGGCCCTCGCGCCTTCGGAGAAGCCCTGCAGGCGTTCTCCGAAGAAACTGGCGGGCTCCTGAGAAGCCCCGCCGCCTCATGAGAGTAGAGGCCTCCTAGATGTGATCCGCGCAGATGGGGTCGGAGGATCGCGCCACATCGCCGATGCATCGCCGATGCATCGGCGGTGTATCGGCGACGTCGGCGGTGCATCTGCCGCGTCGGCGTGGAGAAAAGGAGGCCCCACATCGAGCCGCATCGCCGATGCATCGTCGATGGGGCGGAATCCTCCCACCCCATCCACTCGGACCCCGTACGGGAGGCCTAGACTCGGGGGGGAGAGAGAGGCTCTCGGAAGGCGGCGGGACTCCTCCCGCGAGGGCCTTCGGAGAAGCCCTGCAGGCCTCCTCCGAAGCCGCCGGACCGGAGGGCTTCGGAGAAGCCCCAGCCGCTTCCTGCGAGGGCCCGCCCCCTCTCACTTCCGGGTGGCGGCATCCGAGCCCTGACCCCCAAGGGACCGTCGACACTCCTGCATGGGTGGGAGGCGGGGGTAAGGTTCGGAGCTCGTCACGTGCTCGACGAACCCCGAAGCCTACCCCCGCCGCCCGTCGAGTTGCCCGACTCGTGGATCGGCGAGGGCACCGGGCTTCGGAATTCGCCGCCGAACTGCCCCCCCTGGCCTCGCATCCGACTCTCTGGGGGCAGGCCCCACCCCTCCCGCGCGCGCGCGCGGGCCGCCGCCAGACCAGCGGACGGGCGGGTCCCGCGGCCCCGCTCCCTCCCCCTCGTTCGGTGCCGTGGCGGCCTGGCGCGGCGAAAGCAGCTCGCGGAAGCTCTTGATCGTCCCCATGCCGCCCAGTCGCGCGTCAAAGAGCGCGCAAAGCGGACGTACCGCATCTCCCCCACATGGCGCCATTGGGCGCTATTGGGCGCTACTTGTGCGCTATTTGGGCGCTATTGGACGCTGATGAGCGCTGTTCGGCGCTATTTGGCGCTTTTGAGAGCTATGGGCTCGAAAACTAAAGCAGGAAGATGGGGACCGGGGTTCTGGTCGTGACTTTCTACGATGTTGCAGGTTTTTTGCTGCGTCGGGTCTTAGGGGGGGAACAGTGTGGGGCAGCACACGAAAGCAGGCGGCGTCACTCCTCTCCCGATCCCGCTGCTCCCGCCTCCGCTCCTCCCAGCTGAGCCCCTGCTGTTCCTGCTCCTGTTCCTGCTCCTGCTCCTGCTCCTGCTCCTGCTCCTGCTCCTGCTCCTCCTCCTCCTTCTCCTCCTCCTCCTCCTTATCCTCCTCCTCCTCCTCCTCCCCCCTCCTCCTCCTCCTCCTCCTCCCTCCTCCTCCGCCTCCTCCTCCTCGTCCTCCTCCTCATCCTGGAGGAGCGGGGAAGACGAGGGGGGAGACGATGGGGCGGGCGACGGCGGGTTCCCCTGCCCCCGTGGGCGGAGGCTGAGGCCGCGTCGAGCACCCAGATCTGCGTGGGCGAGTTGTGGTGGCAGTTGAAGCCCATGGTGACCACCAGGCGCGTGGCCATGACCCCGGGCGTCGCGGCTGGGCAGAGTCACAAAGCAAGGGGGGCAGGTGTAGAAGTAGGAGGAGGAAGAGGAGGAGCAGGAGGAGGAGGGAAAGGATGAGGACGAGGAGGACGAGGAAGAGGAGGGGGATGAGGACGAAGCGAACGAGGAGGACGAGGAGGAGGATGAAGCGGAGGAGAAGCAGGAGGATGAGGACGATGACAAGGAGGACGAGGAGGAGGAGGTGGAGGAGAAGAACTAGAGGACGAGAAGTACAGTCGCACACATCAGAAGGATTCAAAACAATTGGGCGTTCACGAAGCAGAGGGCTGGCCAACGAAATTCATAAAGAATGGGCCAGAGAAGCAAATGTGCAATAGTAACCTTGGAAATAAAACCCCATCCGTGTCATGGGCGCCCCCCCATCACACAAGAACCAATGTCGGCACAGCTGGATGTTGTGACCGGCGCACGCCGCCATCTGGCGACCGAGAGACGCTCGCGCGCGCAGCAGGGCGTCCGACGACTTTGGCGAGGGAAGAGAACACCACGAGCCGCGCACGGCCGTAATCGGAATTTTCAGATAATCTCTGCGCAGCGCTTCAGCGAGAGCACCGTTCAGCACTGCCTTGCGCAGACAATTTCCCGCAACGACACACGGAGCCAACACATGCGCCGCGTCCAAGCGGAAGTGCCATGTTCAGGCGGCATCCGCGCAGCGCTTGGGCGAGAACGGCAGTTCGTCATCTCGGGCGCGGCCCCGCTTCTGGCGAGCGCACCCACGAACGCGAAATTCTGAAAACGCGCGCGGCGCTGAGGACAGGCCTTAACGTCGCCCTTGCACACACTAGGTGTGACGCGTCCCACGCCTGCCACGCATCTTGCAACGTGGGCGACAAACCGTCCATGTTGAAAGGGCAAACGCTGATTTCTAGGACGGAATGTCCCGCTTCGGGGGCGCCATCAGGCCGACAGGTAGTGGAAGCTTCTACACAGGATGACTAATGATGAGAACGGTAATGGGTGCCACGCTAAAATATTGATCCGAATCAGTGGCGCCGTCCCATACCATCAGAGGCAAGGCCAGCGCCGTTTGCAACTGGGACTGGCGCACGTCCCCTCCTGGCGCGAACGAAAGGCACTCGCGCGCATGCGCGGCCCAAGCTTCCCGACGACCTGGCGCCAGAGAAACACGCACCGCAATCATGCAGGCATGAAACTTCCGGTGCAAAGTTCAAGCCGCAGCCCACGCAGGAACGCAACCTTCCGTTCGCTGGCACGCGGCCTCACTTGCAGTAGGATATGCAATCGGGGACCATGCTGCACGCCGGAGCGATGATTCAACTGTGAAGAAAAGAACACTGCGCGGCACCTCGCGCGACAGCAACAGTTCGGTGTTTCGCACGCGTCCCCTCGACAAACTGCCGATCGACGACAACAAAAACGCCGCGCGCCCAAGGAAGAGCACATTTGGGGGAGAACAGTAACAGCGGTGCTTGGGTGAAGGAACGAATCGCCCTTCTGCACGCCGAACGCGTCGCGCCCCACTGCTGCCACGCTTGCTGCAAACCACACAAACTAGCACACACGTTTGACTGAAAAAACGTCGACCTCGCACTCCACGTCGCTTTTGTTTTTAGTGGGACGGGACCCCCGCTTTCGGGGGAAGTGGGAGCGGGAGCACTTGGAAAGATCCCGATGTCTCTGGGTTCTCGTTTTGGATAGAGCACTGCAATCGCGACTCCATCTCTTCATATCCCTCCTCCTCCCTCCTGCCTCCGACCTCCAACTTGATTCCCAACCCTCCTGTTGGGTTCTCGTTTTGAATGGAACACTGCGGTCGCGATTCCTCTCCTCTTCCCTCATCCTTCCTACCTCCTCCCGCGCTGCTTCCCAGGTGGCTGCGGACTGCGCAAGTGGCGCCACTTTGGCGGCCCCCTAGGAGGGACGGCGGAGTCGGAGAGTAGGCGCATCCAGTTGGGACATCGCAACTCGGCTGGCGGCTGCGAACTGCGCAAGTGGCGCTTCTTTCGCGGGCTCCTGGGAGGCAAGGCGGAGTAGGAGAGCACGCGCACCCACCCAAAACCTCGTAGCTCCCTGGGGGACTGCGAGCTGCGACACTGGCGACACTTCCGTGAGCTCCTGGGAGGCACGGCGGAACAGGGGAGTACGCTCACCCAGCCGAGACCTCGCAGTTCCCTGGGTGACGGGGAACTGCGCACCTGTCGAGATGTTCGTGGGCTCCTGGGAGGTATCGGCATCGGTATTGGTAAGAGTCGACTCGCTGCCGGTACATGGGGGCCCCAAACGGGTCACGGAGATGATTGATGGGCGAACGGGCCCCACCCTCCGTGGGGGGCCCGATCAAAGAGGGGGCCCGGCCCGGGGTCGAGTCCGAGGGCGGCGCGCTCTCGCAACCACCCCCTCTCCCGAGCGGCCCCCCTCTTCAGGGACAGTGGGTTGGGCAGGGGGCGAAGGGGAAGGGGCGAGGGCAGGAGCCCCCGGTGCGGCCTCGGCCGCCGCGGAAGCGGCAGTGTTGAAGTCGGGGGCGACAAGGTCGTAGGCGACGGCGTCCTCCTCGTCTCCTTCCTGCTGGCGCCCCCCCTCCACGGGCGGGTGGACGACTGGTCGGTCGCAATGAGGATCGTGCTTCTTCATTTTCTGGTCAGAAACCAAGAAATCCTGAGCGATATCAGTTCCCTGCTGGACATGGGGACCCAGAGCCTGGAAGAACGAGCAAAGCTCCTCTGGGATATCAGACGCGTCGCGAGCACTCCATGCTCTGTCCAGGTGCGCATGCGCAGCACGGGCAATAGCTTTGCACATGGCAGGGGAGTACCTCTCCTTAGGGGCTGCCCGCCAGGCACCGCCGCTTTCTCTCCCCATCCAATATTATGCGATGTCTGCGTGGGTGCGCACATCTCCCCTCGCATCCAAGACCACGAATCGTGCCCCTGAGCTCTGGGGGGCGAACAGCCAGCAACGTAGCGGGGGCTTTGCTGACCTGGCCGAATACACATTGATCGAAGCTGGTCATCTGAGCGGCGGGGGAGGCGGCAATGGCTTTCGCGGCGTCCAGCCCGCAGGAGCCGGGGGCCCCGGGTTCCCACCAGGCCTGTTCAGGGTGCTCCAGGACCCCACAAGCCCCAATTCCAGGACAGACCATCAGGAGATGGCGCGCACTAATACGCAACTGGTTCCCCACAACAAGCTGCCAATGCTACTTGACGGAGACATCGGGCCTACCCCAAATGCGTCGGCAAGTCCGTGGCGGAGGAAGGCCTGAACCAGCACCATCCGTCAATCTGTTCCATCTAACAGCAGACCACGACACGCATGGGGGACCTCCAGCAATGCCGAGGGCTCGCCCCGATCTCAGGCAGGTAGACCATGTGTCCACGATGTCAATCTTAGCAAGGTCGCCGAGGTTGGGGCACAGGGCAATGGCCAGGGAGATCACAACCACAGTCCAGGGCCCCGAAAGCAACACTCCCTCGAGGTTTCGGTCGCCGAGCTCCAGAGAACAGAACAGGCGCACAAAGGCTAGGACCGAATACTGAACTTCTCTGGGAAGTTGATCGCCTGGGCCTCCCGCGTACTCTTCAGGCCTGAAGGGCCGCTCGTCATCGTCGGGGTGTCAAGGGACATCGATATCGATGGTGAGGGGCCTGCTGGGGTCGCGCTGGTACTCGGATTCCTTAATGAGGGCCCAAGCGTCAGCATCGGGAATGCGGGTCTTACATCTGATGTCAATGGGACCTGGGATTCTGTAAGCAGGGACAACGGGCTCTCTTCGCATCGCACCTTTGGACCCCGCCACCGCCCTTGCAGCAGCCTCGTCCAAATCACATTCATACTGCCGAGTAGCGTCAACAGGGACAACGCAAAAAGAGCCAACAGCATACATCGTGGGCTACCGAACGCCACGTGGTCCACCGCAAGCTCCTGAGTACCAAAACAGGTCAGGCATACTGGGCATATCTGGGAATCCAGGTATCTAGCGGCAAGACGACGGCGTTGGACATGTTGAGACGACACGTGGGCACGCAGGGCAGGTGGCTTAGGCGCGTGGTAGGCGCAGTAGGGGCACATGTAGCGTTCGGGGGCAAGGTGGGAACAGTAAGTCGATGACAAGGTACTCCTTCCTCCTTCGCCTCCTCCAAGATACACTTGATACGGTGTCTAGCAAAGTAGTTCCTAGCCTGCCAGCGAAAGCGAGCAGCAACTGTCTTCGCGACCTGGTTGGCCCAAGCTCTACCAGGCTTACAGATCTCCACCTCCCACTTGGGTAAGTCACCAACTGGCGTGTGAATGTCATGGCATTCCGAAACTCTGTCGCGTACCCAACGCAGGTCCTCGACAATCAGCGAGTGCCACGACCCCTCCACGCTGGCTGAAAGACGGATAAGAGCGAACAGATGACAGGGGGGGCCAGATCTGTAGAGTCTCGGGTGGTACCGAAGTCTATGTCAAAAGAGAAGGGCGGTGAGGTCAGGTCGATCAACCATGGCCAGGACGGCCTCGTCGCCCCGGGCTTTGGGACCATAGGTAGGCGCCCCAATCGCCGCACGGCACGGCTTCAAAATCTGGGTAGCATACCTGCGAAACTGCGCTGCAGTTGGCTATTGCCAAACACTCGCGTGTAAAGTCTGCCAGACATGATCAACACGTCCACCAGCATTAGCTTGTCCGAGGAGGGGAGGGGCTGATTCTGGAAAACGACCTGCCTGAGAGTCCTCTGGGACCCAGCCGTGGAGTTCACCCGATTGGCCAGCTCGGTGCCTAGATCCATCTGGTCCGAGACAATGCACCCAATATGTTTGTAGGTGTGAACAGCCCCAATAGTCACCCCATTGGGATAAGTAGTCGACGCAGGTGCCGAAATGTGGCCAGCATTTTCAAACCAGAACTGTTTGCGGGCCGTAACCGAGCCCTTCCCTCTGAACATGAGCACAGTAGCTGCTTTGTTCGGGCCCATGTTGGGTCGAAGCCCAGCTGGAGTGAAAACATGCAGTCGAGATAGCTCGCAACTGCCGG